ATTTTCAATGCCTCACTGCCCCTTAACGAGCATGGGCACCCCCCTTTTTATTTTATAATTAAAGTTCTCATATGATAAATATTCATTGGACAAAGTTTGGACAAAAATCTATGTACAGTTTTATTTCAAGGGAATTACCTTAACCTCTCTTAACCACTCAAAAAAGTAACAAAACAATAACAAATATACAAACAAATAATATTTTAATGGATATGAAACCAGAAATGAAAATGCAGAAAAAGAACTTTGCCTTCCACGCAATCTTTGCGAGATTAGAGTAACTGAATGAAACCCATTCCCAGAGCATTCCTTTATTCTGGTTAGCGAGAGCCTTGGGTGCGAAGTTGTTGCTCGTTTTACTTGCTAAGAAAACGTAGTTTTACTCTACCGGCTAATACTAAATTGCTCGAAGAATTGCAAAAGAGATGGAAATCTGCCTATCGGATTTAAAACTATCACTGACAAAGTTGGAGTAAAGAAGTAGACTAAAGGATCAGACCTCCCAATTGATGAGTAACCAACTGCGCATGCGTGACATAACCGTTTAATCGATCTTCTTCCGATCCAATCTCGTTGTCAGAGGCCACCGATCCTTTTGGTTTGCATGAAGAAATCGAGAACTCTGGGACTGAGAATGCGAAGGTGAGCCAGCATTAGCTACAGCGGTTACTCTCTCGCCGTAAGTGAACTTGAACGCATGCGCACCAGGATTTTCTGGGGCCAGAATTTTCTGGTCTTGTCTAGAGCGTCCATCTATAAGTGGTTGCATAACAATCTTATTTTTAATATAAATATAGATGTGGCCCGCCTAGATTAGCCCAGGCTACCTCCGGGCTCACGCTGTTGCTATTATCAAGCATTTTTTAACTTAATGTGTATATCTATTTCTGTAAAAATTGTAAATATGCGTGTCATAATAAAAGTTGTTATTGTTGTTGTTGTAGCGTCGTGCATTCGGTCACCGCTCACCGAAAACGCGTGAGCTCAGGGAATGTAATTTAAAATTTACAAAATTTACTCGCCCAGATACTTAGGAAATGTTAGCCATAAAAATAAAATTTTGACCAATATTTCTATGGCGCGCCTTTCCAGTCAATATTCAAAAAACTTTAATATTTTTAGAATTTTCCCTTAACAGGACGAGATGTAAAAAATATACAAGCAGACTAAAAAACTAAAAAAAACAAGGAAATAAAAAATAAGGCACAGAAATATGATGGATGTATTACATTTTTTAATTTGTCAGTTGAATATTGACTGGAAAGGCGCGCCATATATATTCACTCGTTAATAAAATTGACTAGGTTTTTCCAGGGCCACTTTCAGTCTAAGAATTATAGAAGTTTTACAAGGAAACTTTCATTCAAACCACTTTCTAATTTGATGGAAGATCTGACGCTGTAGGAAAAAAAATGTGTGAATTAACAACCAACGTATTCTATGCCAGCTGTAATGGTCTGTAATTTAATGGCCGATAGAAATGGCACTTTATTAAAGCTTGATTGATCATAAAAAGATATTTATTTTATTTCCATGTTTTATCTACAGGTGCTGCTAAAACACCCATAGGTATATCTATAGAAACCGAGGTTTTTAAAACGGTGCCCATAGGAAACAGAATTTTCATTGTTTGTATTAAAACGTTAATTGCTTTGCTTCTCGCTGGACACTTGGAGGGTGTTTTTTAACCGCGCGGTCATAGGCCGAGCGCGGTTCTTGCTCTGCATGGGGTTAGTGACTAGACCCAAACCTTTACTGGGCCAAATCGTGATCGGGACTTTGAATCACGCAACCTGTGATGTTTATTCCCCAAAAGCTGTTGAAAAATTAATACACGGAAAACGTTACGGATATTGTTTTCTTTATTGTCTGTAAAGTATATTTTCTTTGGTTTTATCGAAGCGTTGGATTCAAAGGGACTATTAAATCGCTAAAAACGGTATTACGTCAGCTATGAAATGCGCTGGCGTTGCAGCTTTCACTTTCGCTGCGTGACAAATAAGTTCATTTCTCCAGAAGCGACGGTCATTAATTTATTTGCAATTTTGCGAGTATTTCTTGTGGGTTTAGGCAATTGAAGTAAATTCTTTGGCTCTTTCATCGAAGCGAATTAAGAAATTTGAAGGAAAATTAAATATTTGCTGAGCTTATGTCATGCTAGGGGACAAAAAGACAACCGTTCTATTAGCCGTTGGATAGCGTAATCCTCGGATTATGTTACTCGCGAGACTACTTTGCTTGTCCTTTACTCATAGCATAAACAAATTAAATTTCGACTTGTAAGGAAGAAAGTCGTTTATTAATAACGTAATTAATAACGTGATACTCGGTTCCCTTTCGTATCATTCATGAGAATGTCCCGAGCGCACTTCCAGATTAAAACCATTACGTCATCATAGATTTCACAAAGGGTGTAATAATACAGTTTGTGTTTGTGTTGATCAAGTGATGTGATGTCTACAGGTCTCAATTAATCATCAAGGACCTCTTTGGAATGTGCACTACGTTGCTAAGAAAACAGTTAAAATCTAAAAGCGCGGTTATAAGATCTTAAAGATCTTCTTGTTTAGGTACAAATAAATAAATGGTACTTTTGTGGCAATTGCTAACTCAAAATAAAACGGCAAAAGACCACAATACCGTACACATGGACATTTATTTCATTTATTCAAGTATTTGTTCAAAATGCTTCACTTTATTTCCGGGGAAGGGGACTTGAGGCTTATTATCCGGGTATGTTATCATGAACTTCCCGTCTGACGCTTCGCGCTTAGTGGTGCATAGCTTATGAGAGCTAAATTGCAGCCCACTGTGTCTGTAAGCGACGTTAAAATTTACTGGTCTCCTTCCTGATTGTCGATTTACGGACGAGAACAATGATTAATCTAGCGCAGAGTGGTCAGGGCAGGATTTTTGCTGAATGTGTGCAATTTACAGGAGAACAAGGCGATGCAACAGACAAGCAATATGTGTTCCCAAGACAGTGCTTGGTTCTAGGCGACTCTGAAGTTGGTAAAACCAGTCTGGTAAAGTCGCTCACTGGAAAACCATTCGATCCCAACCAGCAAAAAACCCAAGGAATTGATCAGTGTCTTGTGGATAATGAGTGGAAAAACTGTAACTTAAAGGATCTTGTCTTCGGAG